CAATGAAATGACAGAAAAGTTATTTTTGTCACTTACTGTAAAAATTTATTTTTGTTACAATGAAGCCACAGTCAAATAAATAAATCTGTGCATTAACAAAAATGGTCTGTTTTATAATTACAGGATAGTTTGGGCGATGACCTATAAGAAATTGTTATTTGTTATGTGATTTTACACATTTAATTCAAACAATTTAACCCCAAAGAGTTATGCCGACAGATTTCTTGCATTTTCTGCAGTGACGCACTGTCGAAACTGACCTTCCTTTTCTTATATAAAGACATCACAAGGATTAAATGTGTCATGTGGCACGCTACGTCAAATCCCTGCTTTACCCTCTAGATTTTTTAAATTGATTTATTTGCATCAATCATACATACACTGCCTCGTTTATCTACAAAAGATATCCTGAAAAGATTTAAGGTAGGTAAATGAACTTTATCTTTAACCTTCAAGTAACCAAGGTTAAAGTTTGACATAAATGATATTCAAACAAACAATCCAACAACTAAAACATAAATGCCAACGTTTGACTTAATAAATAACTTTACCTGATTTTATCCATGACAGCCACCAGCACGGCTACAGCCAGACCGTGCACCAGGGCTGGCTGTAGCCGTCCAGCTTCTGGTACGTTCTCGATCACAGACACACAGCCGATGAAAACAAAGAACAAGGTCCCCACAATTTCAGCCAAGCAGGGCTGGTACAATCTCTCGTATTTGTTAGGTTGAGGTTTCAACACGGGTTTAGTCTTCATAGGCTCCATTAGAGCAGAATCTCCCATTTCAATTTGCTCCTCGCCCATTGTCGCTCCTTATTTGCCTGCACCTGCAGCTGGCTTCTCTGTACTCGGACCAGTGTGCCGAAGTGCCGAAGGTGCTGCAAGGTGTTGGGGTTTATTAATAATCATCCCCCATAACCTGCACACTGCAAACATATTGCATCACTGGTCATAAAAGCATAAAGAATGAATTATTGAGCCATATAAATGTTCTTCACACCTGTTCAGCCATGCTTGGCAGTGTTTGAAGGAGTGCACTTAAGTGACATCTTTAAAAAAAATAAAACATAAAACACATAAAACATAATGATGCATGAGGGAGGGGTGGAGGTCACAAGTTCCAGAGTTAAAGTATTCTTCTGTCATAACAATCATTGTCTTTGCTTTATTTGCATCCCCTGCCAAACCTAAAGCAATCGCCAAGCGTCTATATAGATAAGCTAGATTAGAGACTTTGCAGAAAGTTATGGTCCAGGGTAGGTGGATTTTACACTCTTGGATAACAACACTGAACTTTAGATTATGTCAGACTAATTACATCCTAAACTAAGATAAACATGTATGTACCGAAACATATTTATATTATTTAATAGACAAATGGCATCAAAGAGGCCAAACGTCACAAAGAACAAAGAGAAAAGAGCGGTCAGAATCGTGCATCTGACCGTGAATCAAAATCTTGTTTCTCAAATTTATAACACAAGCAGCTCAGCCAGTGCAAATACAGCAGAAAATAATCAAACAGTGTCATATGACAATATATCAACCATTGGGACGTTTTCTTTTTCGGCAAATCCTCTTTTTTTTAATATGTGTGACATTTTTTTAGCGTTTATGCACTGCTGCAAGTACTTTGATACTTTCCCTCTATTGACCCTGAGACGCGACGGATTCAATAAAAAGAACTGAGAAAGTAAGTAAGTAAAAATATTATTTATATAGCACCTTTCAGGACAAAGATCACAAAGTGCTTCACAAGAAAAAAACATAATGTTGGTCTGTGCTGTTTTGACTTTGTTTTGTATTTCTGTTTCCTGATATTGTTGGAAATATGTTGAGTTCTTGTGTTGCCGCTAGTAGTTAGGATTTAGTCGAGTTTCATTCTCGTTTTACTACTTTTATAACATTTATAAGTCTTCTCTTGTCTTCAGTGTCAATATGTCGTATTTCTTGTCTGCGTGTTACATGTCATCAAGCTTGTGTTTCACGTCTTCATTTCTCTGTTTCCTGTTTTATTTTGAACGTCTCTTGTTTCTCTGTTCAATGTGTTTACTTTTCCCCTGTGAGGTAGTTATGTTCATTTGTGTCAGCTGTTTCTACTTCCCCTGATCACCTCCTGTGTGTATTTAGTCTGTTTGTTTTCATTCATTCCTTGTCAGGTTGTCTGTTGTTTCTTGCCATGTTTCCAAGTTTCATGTCCAGGTTCGTCCAGGTTCTTCATATTGTTTTTTTAGTTCTCCCAGTTTAGGTTAATGTTTAGTTTTGCATCAGTGTGCCTTACCTTATGTTCTGCTTCTGAATACTGTGACAAATACCAGGGCATTTAAAACAAAGACAAAAAATTAACCAAATGCAATTCCAAAAAGATGAGTTTTTAAGTTGTTGGGTTTTTTTTTTAAAGAGACTACTGAATCCACAGATCTCAAGCTCACAGAAAGAGAGTTCCTTAATGTGGGGGCCACAGTGTCAAAAGCTCTGTCTCCCTGATTTCACAGCCTTGTTTGCTGTATAACAGGGGTGGGCAACTCCAGGCCTCAAGTGCCGGTGTCCTGCAGATTTTAGATGTGTCCAATTAAAAAAATTTAAACGACCTCCTCAACATGTCTTGAAGTTCTCCAGATGCCTGGTAATGAACTAATCATTTGATTCAGGTGTGTTGACCCGGGGTGATATCTAAAACCTGCAGGACACCGGCCCTCGAGGCCTGGAGTTGCCTAACCCTGCTGTATAACAAATAGGCCCTGATCACATGACCTCACGGACCTGCTAGGGACACAGGGCTGTAGAAGTTCAATAATCTAAGCTGGTGCTTGTCCATGAAGAGCTCTAAAAGTCAGAACCAGAATCTTAAAATGGAGCCAATGGAGCTGTATTAGCAATGGCGTCACATGCGAGTACTTTGGTCAGAAGCCTTGCTGCAGCGTTTTGAACAACCTGCAGATGTTCCAGGGAGTTTTTGCTTAGACTTATAAATGATCAATTACAGTAGTCCAAATGTGATTAAATAAATACATGTATAGCAGCCTCCAGTTCAGTACGTGACACAATAGGACTTAGTAAATAAGTAAGTTAGATTTCTTGATTGTTTCATTGATTGATTGATTGACTAAAGCTTACTTACAAAACACTAGAAGGTGTTGCGACCCAACTTGTTTTCCTTGAAGTTTACTATTTCTGTTTTTAATTCGTACAACCTGTTTCTTCAATCTTATCACATCTCACAGTGAGGTTAGATAAGATTATGAGATGGAGATCAAAAGATTATAGTGATAAGATTGTACTATAATGTTATGTGTATTATACAACACATCTATTGACAGCATTCTTCAACGGAGTAATTGTACATCCACCTTTTTTCCTATCTTAAATCCAGTACTGTGCAAATGTCTCATTTCTTTTTATCTTTTTTTATATCTTTCTCCCAAGGACAGACTTTATTGTTTTTTGGTCTGGAAGTTCTCCGGGCTTCCTAAAGGTCTTTCAAAGTTTTTCTTGGACATTGACTGCTTTTTCACTCACTTTTAGTCAACTGCTTGTACCTGAGCATTTTCAGAGAAAACCAGAGCCACTTAACACTGACTCGTGAGTCGTGATTTATCTAACCACTTAAAAAAGCACATAACTCAAGGGATGAACCAGTGTTGGGTTTTCACATAAAACACGAGTTAACAAATAACCTATTTTAAATCTTTAGGCACTTTGCTAATAGCAACCTGTTGAAAAACACATCATTTATTCCTTCCAAAAGGTTGATTCTGTTTATCTGGACGTAGCATTTTCAGCATAGCGTAGCGCAACATAGCATTTTCAGCGTAGCGCAATGCTATGTCCCGATGAACAGAATCAAACCTTTTGGGATTTACTTACCTGAATGATTGAGCATGCATCAAGACATTATTTATTTCTATTTGTACAGTTAAATGATGCTGACATGGTTTGACGGGCATAAAATTATAGTTTTGCTCCACGAAGCTGATTACCAAAGAGCTATTAGCTAAAAGCCTGACATATCTCAGCATTCTGTGGAGGACAAAAACAAAAAGTGGCAGGCTAAAACCTAAAAAACAATCAACAGTAGGGGAACAGTATCTGAAAGTCATGTCCTTAAGACTTGACAAAGGCCTGTTCACTGAAGCCTCATCAGAAATGGTCTCTGTGGAAGACTGGCTGGAAACTGGAGACTGGAAAGGAGGGAGAAAAGGCTAAGGCATGCTAGCTTACACGAGAACTGGACTGAAAAACGGCGGGAACGGGTTTTATGGTGTGTTGAATTGAGAATTGAAGCAGGTCAGGAGAGAGGTCCAACAGCGAGTGCTTACAGCCATCTGTAAAACAGGTGGAGGCTCTGTCATGGTTTGGAGAGCCAGTGGTGTTGAGGATCTTGTCAACATTGATGGAATTATGAAGACAGACAAGAACAGTCAGATTTTGATCTGCCACGCAGTAACATGTTTAAGGCATCTGATTGGCAAAGGCTTCATTTATTAACCTCACACCACCACTGCAGTAAAAGCATACGTGTATAGAAACACACACAGTGGACACTATCAGTCATGGGCTGGTCTACCTAGGCAGAGTATAAAAGCGCTACATAAGAAGCAGTCCTTTTACTTTCAAACTCAACAGAATTGTACAAGCTAGGTTTTTTCGTTATATGCTGTCTTTCATCAACATGTATTAGCACGTTTCAATAATTCCCCAACGAGATTTACAATGAGTGACTCAAGACTTTTGTTCATTTTGATTATGAAATTTTCACTTGCAACGGAGTATTTTGTCTTAAAAAAAAAGAAAAAAAAGAATCTACGTTTCAAATATCATTGGATCGAAGTACACCAGTTTATGATTCTAATCTGCCTTTATATTTTAAGCCACTGGCCTGTCCTTGTACCGTCATTTAAGTAATAAAACTATTAAAATACTCCTTGCCATGTGGGACTTTGATTCAAACAAATACAAAAGACTCAACTAAGTAGTGCAGAGAGCAGACAGTGTGAGCGTTTGAAAGAAACTTTTATTGTTAAATATGCCTGGACTTTTTCCAGCCAAACAATAGAAGCCAACAGTTATGGTGGATATCTGTAGGCACAGATTCTTCCCATGTTGCTGAGAAATGTATGACCATCCGAATGGAAAAGATGCCAAGATACCCATCAACTGGTTGTGGTCTCTGCAGTCCTCTTTAATGAATTAGGCCTTCACTTTAGCACAACTCGAGTTTTATGGTCACCGATCAACAACCTGCGAAAAAAGATAATCTTTACTGGTTGTTTCCATCACATTTATTATCCATTTATTGTCATGACCTTTCATTCATCTAAGAAAGATTTGCTAAAATGCACATGATGTGGTACAAAGCCACTGTGTGCTTTTTACACATATTCCATCTTTTGTAGGATGTGTGTATTCTGAATACACAGATTCTTCAAAGAGGCATAATCTAAATAGAAACAACATTAGAGAGACTTAATGTAACTGCAAAGTGTTTCTCATAAGACCCCAGGAGTTCCAGTGTAGTAGGTGTGTTGGGTCTATAAATGGTTAAGAAGGATTTAATACTTAAGCATTATGATTGGCCTTGCAGAAGTAACTAATAATAAATAAATAAGACCTACCGAAATACTAAGAGTATTTAAAAAGGTGAACGTAATATTGTGGCTGACTATCGTACTTGAACTGACTTGCCACCCACTTTCATCCCAACAGTAGTACTGCAATGCTACATGAATATGGCCTTTTTTACGAGGAACTACAAATCTATACTAGACATATGTGAAATGTGCACGTTTGACTTTTGGACGCAAAAGCAAATAACATGTCCTGAATCTTTACCTGATGATGCTGACAGTTAGCAGTGCACCAGCAACGGGTCCAACCCAGAAGACCCAGTGATTGTCCCAGTGGTTGGCAGCCATGGCAGGACCAAAGGCACGGGCAGGGTTCATGCAAGCTCCAGACAAAGTCCCTCTGAAATAACAGTCATGACAAACCAACACGTTAATACAGCTGGAGATCAGTGATGCAGATCAGCAGCACACTTCTCATGCAAGAAAAACAGGATATACAAGCAATGGGATAATGGTCCACATGCTTGTGCATGACATAAAGACTCATTTAAAAGGGAAACTTGACGAAGTTAATAAACTCATGAGGATACATTAGAGGAAACAGAGATTAACCTGTTCCAGTGGTTCTCAGACCTTTGCTGCCATGTCTTGCTTTATGAGCTGAAAGAAGTTCACACCCTACATCTTTTAATTTGTATCAGTGATTTAAGTTAAAAAAAAAAAGTTTAATTTTAGTAAAGTAAAAAGATGATGTAGTAGCAGTAGAACGCTCTTGTTTATTTTCCCTAAAAAAAAAAATCATATTATCATATCATACTAGTTTCACTTTCATTCCCCCCCATTAGCAACACCCCCCAAGGTGGCACTGCCCCACAGTCTGAGACCCCCTGGGCTATAATAAGAACCAGTATCTTTAGGTTCTGCCATTTTGAATTTTACTTTTTCTCCTTTTCAGTACTTATTACAAAAGTCAACCAAAAGCAGGACAAAATAAACAAGTAGACCTTTTTTTATTATTATTATTATTTTAAATCTGAAACCACGGCTCCTATCAATGCCCTAATAGTGATCAGAGTCTAGCTCCCAGTGATTCCTCCTGAGATTCTTACCCAGCAAGTATGTTGGCAGCCACAGTGAGGCCAATGCAAAAAGGAACCCCGTCTGTTTGGGTTCTCCTGTTGACGGCCCCCAGGCACACCACCATGGTGAGGATCAGGGTCAACAACATTTCTACCAGGGTGGATCTACCAGCGTCAGCAGAGACCACTTTAAAGGCTCCTCCGAGGGAAGCGGTATAGTTATTAGAGGGATACACTGCCTAAAAGCACAACAAGTAGAACACATAGGATATAACATGACTGGAACCTTAACTCTTTTTTCAGTAAATCAAAATATCATTTAATGATCTTAAATTACAATCTTGTATGGTAAATGTTTTTGGCTCAGTCTTGATAAGGTCAAGTCAATGATGTTATCAATCTTGAAGTCAAAGTGCTGCTTGGTAAGTAATCAGAAATCACAATTCTGAACTGTCATAGTGTGTCATCCATATTTATACACAGCAAGTCGAAAATATTGGGTTCAATGATGTAAAAATGATGACATAACCTTGTAAATTCACATTTTACATGACAAAACATTAGAGTCATGCCAGAATAAACAAACGCTGACTTACTCAAAACTAAGATCAAAGTAAAAATGATGAAAAAATGAAAATTCAAGTCTTGAGAGCCCATTTTGACTGATTTTTACAGATTTTAAAACATCACTCCATCAGTTAATTCATTTATTAATTATTATTATTTCTGCATTGCAAGTTTTTTTTTAACTTTTACATTGAAATATAGAAATAACATAATTAAATGAAATATATAGTGATTTGCACAACTTACAGAAAACTATTTGTAACAAAATAAAACCCTAAACATATTGTTGACATCTTCTTACCACTATCTAAATGCCAATGATTACAAAGAAAAACAAATTTTCCACACTGGCAGTGCATGAAATAACATTTTTTGCATTTTAGCATTTAGTTAAAAAAAAATCAACAATTAGACTGACGACAAAATTTAACATCTTGACTTATAATGAATTTGCGTCTTTAGTATTTCATCTTTTATTTAGACTATATCTTACCTTTGACAAAAAAGCACCAACCACTCCTCCGGCCATCTGAGCTACGATGTAAGGTACGAGCAAAATCAGCTTCATCCCCCCGCACAGGTAGACGCTCAGCGACACTGCAGGATTAAAGTGTCCCCCACTGCAAGAATTGGAATTAATTTTAGTCTATAAAGTGATCAAGCAGTCACAACTGTCCGTCAAAAATGGATGAATAGATGAAAAAGGATCAAAGAATAGAGTGGGATGAAAAGAGCATTTGAATAATGTGTTTATGTGTGTGCTACCTTTGTTGTATCAAACTGAGGCAATACAAAGTGTGACAAAAAAATGCATCAGAATATTTTTAAAAGGGTTTTTTTTGCTGTGGTTTCCAACACCTAGATGCTCTTTAAATTAAAGCAACTTCTACAAGTTAGGGCTTTTTACTCTAAGCACTAAATCCTAAAAATATCCATAAATTTCTTTTTTCTTTGCTTTTACACTAACCAAAATCCCCCCAAAATTCTATTTTAATACTGTAAGAACAAGAAGAAAAAACAGTATATAATAAATCTGTACCTGATTTGTCCAAACACTGTGATCAGCACTCCCAGGGCCAGTCCATGTCCCACGGCAGGCTGGATGACACCCGTTTCCACGTTCCCGATAACAGAGGCACACCCCACAAATACGAACAAGCAGGTTCCCAACAGCTCAGCCAGACAGGGCTGCACGTACAGCTCATATTTGCATCGTATCTTACTTCTGTTGCCAATGTCTTTCTCCACCTTCGGCTCCCCCATTTCGGTTACTGTGAAGACCTCTGTCTTACTTTCTAGCCCTGACATGCTGTATTTGAAACCTTCTGCCCTGTGCTTGACTCCCTCCACTTCCACTGGTGGACTACAGTACGATCAGCATATAGTTCTGTATATAAGCCACACATATGATGATGCAAAAGGGAAATGCGTCCATGCGTTTTCGCTGTGATGCCCCTCCTGCCTGCAATTTTTTATACTGCCAAAATATTTAAGATGAGCTTGTTAAATGATTAGTCTTGTCGTGGAACATCAAAGTAGTCAGGGTGAAGGTCCTGTTACACAATCAATGTTTAGTTGTGTTTTTTTTTTTTTTATTGCTGAACCTAAGCTCATCAATAAGCCTACAGATACCAATACAAATAAATAAGTAACTTTTATGATCTATAAGGTCCCCTAAATAAAGTCATCAGTCAATGATACAACCCAACACAAAGTCTACTTGCGCAATTAATGCAATCAAGAATTCTCAGAACTTATCGTGGTGTTCACTCCCAAGAATATCGCACGCACTCTGGATAAGCCAAGGCTTTAAACATAATCGTTCAGATATGACGTCCATAACAAAGTAGATAACTGACAGTTCAACGACATCTTACACAAAAGATTTTCTTTAATTATCTGCACTTGATTGATCATCAAATATAATCAATAACAAACTAATCTGTCACTTTCTCTCAGCTAGGGTCAACATTTTGCAGGTAAATGTGAAATTAACGAGCATTTGTATGTATTTCACTATTTATGGCATGCAAGTAATAATCTGATCAATAAATTAAATTAAAATGGCACATGAAAATCAGGAAAGCACAAATAAGTAACATCTGTGATTCTTAATACATTCTTTCATCTCCATCACACAAGAGCAGATTTGTTGATGTTTTGGACATGTTCACAATTCTCATCATGTCTTCGACACATACAGGGATATCAAGGATGCTTGTGAAACTGCATTTTGCTGAGGCCGGGACTTTTCACACCGGAACGAATCCCAGATGAGGGGCTCGGCAGAGAATTAATGACTTCCTCTTTCCTTAGGCCTCCTTTAACACGTCTTCTCCCGCTGTTGGTTTTGGCGGACACACACAAAAAGTGGCGCAATTTAATGCTCAAAACGCCAACTGAGAGAGACCTGTGGAAAGAGAACATGACCTGTTCTTGTTAATGGCCACAGCAGACATTCAAACTGATGAGCGGGGGATCTGAAAAACACGCACGAGTACGACAAAGTAAATACGCTGACAGTCACTTTGTCACCATTGTAGTCAGAGAACATCCTGAAACATAGCGTCTGTCACTTTGATGTCCTCTCACAGCTTACGTGTCCATTCATAAGGCTAACATTAAAGTGTGCATTACCCAGATTAAGCTTATCCTTGGTGGCCCAGCAGATATTGTAGTGCTGAAGAAGTTGTTGCAACAGTTCCTTCTCATCCAAGAACTCCAGACGCTCAATTCTGAAAGAAATGAAAATCTACTCAAGACTTTGTCTTAAAATGTGACTTTTCATTTCAGGAAGCTACAGTCATGTAGACTGTGGCGGGACCTTAAAAAAGCTAAACTGAAGCAACACTGAATGATTTCAAACTAGGTTTCAATAGATTGCTGCACTCAAAAAACAATATAAATAAATCGGGGGGGCTTGATTCACAGTACTGGATAATGCAACAATCCTATAAATACCTTTCACCGAGGCTTTTTCCAGATGAATTCCTCATAGTAAAACTCCACAACATTCCATATACAATATTCAATATTCTCGTTATCTCCAGTCAGAGAATCCATAAAAATGGACATCAATTATAATGTCAGGACTTCAAACTTTACTGGCCTTCACTGGCAGCTTTACTAGCGCATAAAATGGTAACAGTCGCAATTTAACTGGATTAAGATGAAGAAGCAAGACAAGAACCCGAGCAAGTGCACTCTACGCTCGGCGAGTATCAAACGTAACCACCAAAGCCGGACCTATCGACAATAAGAAAACTGGAGATATAGATTAAGCTTAAAAATTCTTTAATGAGCTAAAAATCACATAAAACTCAACTAATGTATATAAAGACATAAGACATAATTAAGTGAAACAATTTTAAAAACATTTCCATATTTTAAAAAAAACAGATAAAGATGAATTCATAGCTGAAAATGAGGAAAAAATGTGGAACATTTGATTTGCTAAATATATATTTGCTTACTTAATCCAGTGTAAATGTATAATGGTAAAATAAGGAAGTGAAAGCACTGTGGGAAAAGAGCAGAGAGGTGGAGAAAGGGGAAGGATTTGAAATAAAAGAGTGTTTTAATGAGTCAGCAAGGTCACGAGTTCATGGACGACAAGAAGCGAATTTCGGGTAAATGGCCCTGGAAATTTACCAAAATGTGTAAATCATGACTCTGCCACGGCATTCACAGCACTTCCATTTACCAACTGCAAATGAGCTAAAAGGGTTATAAACATTTAAAGCATTCAAATAAGTTCAGAATCGTCTGCTTCAGCACAGCTGAGCTGCTTTATTTAACCAAGATAAATAAAGCAGCTATATGTTGATATGTTAGAGGACCTGAATACTGGGACTGAATTTAAGTCCCACTAGAAATCCCTCCACCATCCACACACAGGTGGAGATGGGGGGGAAAAAAAGACAGTAAAATAAACTCTTTTCCACCAACGCAGAGCCATTGCTGGTGCAGAGCCAACACTCTGACAGTACTTTAGTGCATCATGACATAACGTAACCAAACATTACATAGAGTTACATAATAAGTGTTTGGGTAATTTCTACAGAAGCACAGACCAGATAAGCAGATATCCATCCTTCCATAGAGAAAGCATTTATATAGCCCCAAATAGCAACAACAGTTGCCTCAAGATTCTTGATACTGCCTGCATTACCTTGCCACATCATCCTGAGGGAGCATAGTGTAGACCGTCATCATATCTAGAGCGTCAACGTGTTCCCAGCCAGTTTTCAGAAACCGATCCTTCTGCAAACGAAGACAAATTAATGTCCTCCCAAAACAAAATAAATAATACAACCAGCAACGCAGTGTCATTTGTTAGTGTACACAGCATCTCTTGGATGTTCAATTCAATTTTATATAAGGAGCTTTATTATTGTAAGGTAAAGACCTCACAATAATAAAGAGAAAACCTCCAAAATCAGCCGACCCCATGTGAGCAAGTACTTGGCAACAGTGGGAAGGAAAAACTCATTTTTAACAAGAGAAAAAAACCTTCTCCAGGCTGAGTGAGGGGACTCAACTTGTTGGGGGTCTGTCTAAAACTTGACAGCTAGTTAACCTGCTCATAATCCCTCATGATGTGTATTGATGCTAACAAAGTCACTGATGAGATGGAGGTTACCTGAGAGTCCAGAGTCTGGCAGGCCTCCACTCCCGCCAGGGTGCACTGGCGACGCTGCAGGTTCTCGATCATCACTTGACCAAATCGATCGCTCATGTTGACCTGGACACAAAGACAGCGCATAAATCACATTTTGCTCCCTGTTACTCAGCTCCAATCTACATGAAGCATTTCAAATACTCAGTGTGTCGTACTTAGGTTGCAAACAGTTGATGACTAGAAAGGTACAAAAGAATTTGCAACTAATGCTTGGGAAAAAAAAAAACAAGTACTTAATTATGAAGTTGTTAAATTTGTTTACCTGTTCATAGTTGATGAACATGGCAGTGTGAAAGGTTTCTGCTGCCCAGTGAACAAGGTTGGAGGAGTGAGATGGTGTCATGTAGACCAGCACACACTCTGACAGAAGCAATGTCGGTAACCTGGAGACGAGACCAGCACGTAAAAGAACAACATATCAAGAATGCACTTAGTGAGATCTCGGCAAAGACAAAACATTTATCCACATGCAGAAGAATATAATGTGCAGAAATGTCTTCATTTAATCCAGTGTAGTGGAAAAAAGTGAAGGTGCTCATATTCCTGTAATGCTGGTAGATGGGGAAAAAACAGCTTCCTGTTCTTATGCAAGCTTTCAATAGTAAATTAGGCCAAAAAAAAAAAAGTTCCCAGCTATCTCGAAAAGGTCCACTGGCCCTGCTGCAAAAATGTCCTTGTCTTATCTCTCTATGCCCTATTTTCATTCAACACAACTGGTAAAGTGATGCTACAGCTGAAATCTAAATATCAAACAGCTGAAGGATAGAAGGTGGCTGTAAAGATTCCTCATAAAAAAAAAATGTATTAAAGTGGTGTCTAAGGTTGTAAAGGCAACCACAATAACACAATAACTTAAAAATGAATAATCTATTATGAGGTACACATTCATATAATAGACAGAACAGGAAACCATAAAAGCACACCACTGTTAAGGTTCTTTGTGTTTCATTTATAAAGCCAATTACTGTGTAAAATGTAAATGAAAAATTAAAAAGCAAATGATTTCCAAATCTCACAAACCCATATTTTATTCACAATAGAACACAGAAATGTCACAGTAAGAAAATGTAGCATTGTAAGAAAAACGTTTTTTGATGGCAGTAACATCAAAAAGTTCAGAAAATCTGTAGGAATCTCTGTGCGCAAGAGACAAGAACGTACATTTTGCACATCGTTTACAGGCTCCCCAATTGCTCAGTGACCTCATGGTTCTACTAAGAGTTTTGGGCTCCTAACGCACAGGAAGTGCAAGACACAATATTCTAAACTCTTATTTCAAACATTTTTTTCTACAGATCTTAAACAGAATCCTGCATAATTTTAAACTTAAAAAAGCTCATTTGTAATAAGTCATAAATAATCTACAGTGCTGTGTAAAATATTTCTTTTAAAATGTATTTATTTGAGACATGTGTCACACTTGCATGTTTCACAAATGCAATTTTTAAATGATCATTTCTAAAGGGACAAAACTTTTGCTTGTGTTTCTCGCTGGCTCTTTTTGTGTGTTGCAGAGTTGTATGTGTCATGTACCTGTAAATGCAGTGGTGTGTGGCATACAAAGAAACACAATAATATAAATAAACTACAACTATGGCGGTTAAAATGAATCTTCCATGTCGCGTTTCGCAATAGAACAAATTAGCGCTCAGATCTGCTGTTCATGAGTCATGCTAGCTCCCCGAGTTAGCATGTTTAGCAGAATGTAAGCAAAACCATGACTAAGCATACAGACGCATTTTA